GATCTTCAATTGTGCCAAGGATCCGAAATATAGCCACGATAAGTGCTTATTGACCCATATTTTTAAATACGCTGTCGACTAAAAATGAGCGTTAGCCCTAACCGGGCAAAGCGGGGATCGCGGAGACAAGTCACATAAGTAGGTTGTTTTTTTTGCACGACTCGTGTTTGATCTAATCAGCGTATGTACACGATCGAAAGTATTTAGTTTGGAAGATTACTGAAACGTGTGTCCAAGGTGTAAATATTTGTATTTTCATTCTTTGCCGTGAAGCGGAATCGTCGCAATCGACGTTTTGATTAGCGGCAACGTCCGATTGCAATGATCAGCTGATTCTCGACGTCTGCTACTGGAACTTTTATTGTGGCAGACATCTCGCTTGAACAATAAACTATTTAAACATGTTTTAACGCTCTTGTGTATCGCATTAGTTATATATTTCCATATCATATTTCTATTTAATAAGATTTTCAACCTCACGATTTACATTTTAGCAGGTGCTTCTTCGAAGAATGAATGGTTACTGTACGACGACATGTTTGCCGATTCGACTTTTTTTGGAGGGGAAGATAGTGACCTGGAAGATTATCAAGATTCCATCGATGTTCGTTGGATCCAGGGCCGCTGCAGACCACGGCAGGTACGGCCGAGGGACGACCCTTTCTACCGGTACGATGACGTAGATTTTATCACGCGATTCCGACTCTCCAAAGATGCTACCATCCGGCTGCTGAGCCGAATCGAACACGCCATCGCCTTCGACGGCCTTCGCAACTGCCCACTGTCGCCCATCAACCAGCCCCTGGTCGCTCTTCGATTCTACGCGACGGGCACCTTCCAGGTAGTTTTGGGCGACCTGTGGGGTGTGCACAAGTCAACTGTGTGTCGAGTCGTCAAGCGGGTCACGCACGCCATTGCTGCGCTGGCAAGGGACTTCATCTCTTTTCCCACGACCGAGGCGGAACGCAGGACTGTTTCCGAAGGATTTTACAGCATGCAAGGATTTCCAGGCGTTGTTGGAGCAATCGACTGCACGCACGTCCCCATCCAGTCGCCTGGAGGTGACCATGCCGAACTGTATCGGAACCGGGCCGGATACTTTTCCATTAATGTGCAGACAGTGTCAGACCATCAACTCTGCATCCGCAACATTGTGGTCCGGTGGCCAGGCTCGGTGCATGACAGCACAATCTTTGGCAACAGTGCTTTAAAAGCACTGTTTGAGAGTGGACAGATGAATGAGAGCATTTTGCTAGGAGATGGAGGCTATGCCTGCTCCAGGTACCTCTTCACACCAGTTGCTGCTCCGAAGACGCCAGCTGAGAGAGCCTACAACCGGGCCCACATACCCACACGCAGTACTGTTGAAAGGCAGTATGGCGTGTGGAAGCGCCGCTTCCCCGCTCTGGAGTTTGGACTCCGCATCAAGCTGGAGACTGCACTGTCCAGCATCGTGGCCATGGCAGTGGTCCACAATCTGGCACTCCAGCTGGGTGAAGCCGAACCACCCGTAGACTTGAGGTTGGCAAGTCGTCGACGCGTCTTCTCAGATGTAGTAGCAGAGCATGTTCCTGAGCACCATGGCAGGACCAGTGCAAGATCGGCACTCATCGACCAGGTGTTTGCCAGGCGAGCCCGTGTAGCGAGGCGAAGGGAGTAAAACAGCACAAGGGGTGCTCTCTTTTGACAAGTTCCTGATGAAGGAAGACGCCATAGCAGGAGCTGGCTCAGCAGACGCCTTCCACTGTGTGGGAGCAGACAGAGTTCTCGTATGTACTCGACAGCACACAAAGTCATGTGTGAACATTTCTGTTTTGTTTACATGTTAAAGGGCAGTTGCCCAATTCTTGTTTCAGTTCTTTCTCTTGGTGCTGGAAGCGCCGCTTCTGCTACGCTGCAGCACCTTCCCACACCTTGGGTGAAAAAGAGAGCTGTACATGCAGCACTGATAATTAGCGTAGCTCAGTAACCATGTCGATGGTGCCAAGTCAAAAGCGCAATTTGGGAGAGCTGGTTCATGCCTATAAGACTCAGAATACAAAAGGCGTCAACGTGAAAAGCAGCAACGACAAGATACGGGGTCGTTTGTCACAAACTTTATGCAATGCACACTTTTCCAGGCGTCATCGAAGCGATTCACTACATCTCTATTTCGCTTGGTGTCCGAATCATCACAAGACTTATGTAGGATTCTTGTACACTTAAGGCATCTTCACATGTTGAAAATAAGTAATGTGCTCAATAATAATTCTATAAAAGAGATCCTTACAGATCTCCTGAGCAGTTTTTACAAATTCAGTCAATGAGTAGGTGTGTACACAGTGCCATAATATATACTTTCCCGCAGGACATATATAAGAATCTTCCGGGATAAGCATTGACATCACACAACGCACAATATACATAACATTCATCAACCTTTCCTTGATCTGAGGACTTGGATGTAAGCAAAAATTAGAAGCTGTTCATATCGCCCATTTTGTTAGTTCACTTCATTGGAATACAGAAATCCTTTCTGGCAAAACTAATGGCATGACTACATCACATTTACATTGCATGCTGTAGTTTTAGATGACTGTGCAATAACCACCTTATAATTGTCAAATATTGCAGAAATGAAAAGCTATTAATATTTTTTTTATTTTGTGAAGAGTACTTCGTTGCAATACAGGGGTGCCTTGTGGCAAAACTAATGCCATGTCTACTTCTACATAGAATCAGATCTGTTTATCCAGCCATTTAGTTTTTTTATAAAGTATTTGCACTCTAAAACAATGCTATCTTAATCTCCTACAAAGTACTCCCCTTAGCAGCTAACACACTTCCCTATTGAAAAATCCACCAGACCAGTTTGGTGTCTTCTAGTGTTTTCTGTTGTGAACATCAGACCGGCCTGGTGTGTTCTGGTGCGCACATCAAACCAGCCTAACATATTCTAGCGTGCCCACCAGAACAGGTTAGGCTGGTTTGATGTGCCCATCACACCATCCTAGTGTGGCCTGATGTGCACATTAAAACAAACTAGGCTGGTCAGATATGCCCACCACAGCACACTAGAATGGCTTGATGTGCGCATTATGCCACACTAGGCCAGTCTAATGTGCACACCACGGGACACTAAACTGGACTGACATGCACTCTAGGGTGAATCTGGTGAGCACACATTACGGATATATGTCTGGTGTTGATTGAAAACATGTTTTCTTGTAAAATTAAATAAGATGTATAGAGCTCGAACATCACATTTGATTTTACAAGGTGCTTAATTGAAGGGGCGATGCAACGATTCAGTTTGAATAATATGTACTTTGTGCAAGCATGCTGACACAGTGTAACAAAAGTTTACCCGTACGCTCTAGCCTGACGCACAGAATAGAGGTTTGTCTCGTCAACAATCACCGTCAGCAGCTTGTCATCAATGAAAACGTGAAAATATTTCAGCGGGCTTTTCACATCATCAGAGGCCGTAAACACGGCCTCCGCAGGCTCCACTAAACACCGGTCTTCCTTTCGCCAGTCGAAAACTTGCGGCGGTGACTTTTGTTTCTTTCTTGACAGAACTGGAAAGGCGGGCGTTCCGCCTTCAGTTTCGTTATCGCTTGGAAGTTCTGTTGTTAGGCCCTTCGTTGGCAAGCTCTCCTCGCCACCGTCACTTACTTCACTATCACCAGATCCCACATCGGACACTGTTCCACTTTCCGGAATGAAAACCACACAGGGACGATCGCGACTTCGTGTCTGGTAGAAAGATCCTGATAGGATTTCCATCGGGCAGCAATAGAGTACGATACCTAAAAGAAAAGAGCACCACGTCATATTCTGTCAGTAAACAGGTCAACATAGGGATGAACTAAACCACGCCAAACAGGAAGCTTTCTGCCGACAATTACAGCTGATTCCTCGTGCATAGGTATGTAAGATTCAGAGTGAACGCTCGCCCCTAAACTATCGCCCAGTCTATTTACCTGGCTAAACATTAATCGGCTTAAACTACCGAAACACTGCCAAATCTAAGCCCGGAAGGGAACACCACAGAAATCACAAAGCTACTATCCGACTACTCTCTTAAGCCTGCGTCACATGCAGCGACTGTGGGGAAAAAAAAATCGGTGCGACGGCTGACGCAGCGATTGCGATCGCAATGTTTGGTTTCACATGCTTCAACAACCGCGCGATTTCTGTCTGAGCGGCCGGCGCTTCGGACACGGACGCGACGCTTTGACTTTATCTAAAATACGACGAAAACGTCTTAATAAGCACAAAAGTTTTAGGAATGCAAAATGTAACTAGAAATTTCTAATAATTAGGCATTAAACCAGAAGCTTTTATGTGCCTACGTTTATTTTCTTCTCGCGGATGAAAGCTGGCTAATGAACGGCTGGTTGACAAGAAAGCGATCGCACTGACTCTGCGGCAAAATACCAACTCGGTGGAAAGCAGTCGCAGAGCCGCTGCGACAGTGCGACTGCGACTTTAATCGCACATTTTACTGGAAATCGCACTGATTTCGGGCGAGAATCGCAACATGTGAAACAGCTTTTACACGATACGCATATCTACTATGTACTTTTTCCCCCGACTTTCATACGTTTCAAGGTGCAATACGTCTGCGCTATCGAATCTAGAACTTCTAAAAATGCAAAATTAACATATTTCAGAGCAAAGTACTGCTTACCTTTGCAACAGCAGGCCGAAATGCATAGCACGGCGTGGACGATATGGGACGACACTAACGATACGCGTCCTGGCCATCCTGGCTGCCGCCATGCACATCGGAGCCGACAGAGAATCTGGAAAACCCCTGGCGGCAAAAATTTGAGACCGCGAAAACGAAACCAGTAAAATGTATCTCCTAACATGCGTTAGCTTGCTTGCTTATTGCTTTGGGTTCCAAAAACTATCATCATATTCATTGTATCCTGGAAGAGAGTTAAAAGAATGAAAAATTATTTGTGTCGCTATAAGTGGTGGGAATCGTGGGAATCGTCGGCGGGGTCTGTGTACACTGGGCAGTTTGGCCCGCCAGCCCGCCAGCACCGCGAGCTCATCGTAGAAGAATCAAGTTCAGCAAGTCACGAGGAAGGTAAGGATCTTTGTTTCTTTTTGTGTTTGCTGCATTGCACATCGGGAATTTCGCAATATTAGATCTGCTGAGACGTTTGTAGCTTGATCTCCAGTGAGCGATACGAGCCTGAATGTATAGATTTACAGAAAAGTTTCTGGCGGCTATCAGTTCGAAAGTCTTCGTTTTACCCAGCATAGCCAGCCGGCAAGCATATTGAGTTGTCATTCGGACACCTCTTTGAGTTGTCTTCACCACTTGTAGGATCGCTCTATAATAATCGCCGCCCGATCGGTATGTGTTTCAGTCGTCTCCCAGGCAAGGACACAACACAGCGAGAAGACGGCTAATCGTTTTACTGCACTTCCCAGTTGTCCGTCTTCGAGAGCTGGCAGTCCGGACCCGCAGACCCTGGTTGTCTCCCATCGTTCAGAGATCGCAGTCGGCGTCCTTGTCCAGGCCTGCGGACCGTCCTTCCCACGCCAGCGCCGCGTAGGCTAGCTGTTCCGGGCTATCACAGCCCGAGTCTTGCTGCGGAACCAGTCTGGGATCGTCGCGGCCTAGGCCGGTTTGGCCAGGGCTCGCCGTTTCCGCCGATCCTGATCCGAACCTTGCTGGTGGAACACTCCGGGGATCGCCATGGGCCAGATCAACCAGAACGGCTCCATTGTTCCTGCCCGGCCCCAGCATGGTGCAGCACGCTCCTCCTGTTTCCTCGCGCTCGCCCCCGGCTAGAATAAAAGGTGGGTGATTGGAACTAGAGCACCATATAGCTCCTTCGGAGCAGAGTACCGCAGAGCCGTATATTGGGAGAGTTTGGCCCGTAGGTGTGGCGACGAAGGCGCCGGAGAGGAGAAAAGTAAATGAAAGGGAGGAGAGCGCCGTAGGAGCGAGAGATAAAGAAGGGAGCAGAGAGAAGACGACCACCATTTTTTAGCAACGCTGTCGGAGGCTGGTCGGATAAGAGCACTGCTGAGGCTACGCATCGTCTGCTACGGGCCGAATTCTTTTTCACCTGCATAAAAGTTTGGGGCCATGCGCCGAAAAATCTTAATTTGTTAGCTTTTTAACCCACCGAGGAATAACAGAATGTAATTTTCTTGCCAGAGCCAGTGATATAAAAGGCAATAATCGAGATTTAGATGCTGATTCCATGCATTCCGCCTGGAGAATGATAGAAGATGGCGGCCCTTTCCACTCAGCTGCAAGCAGCCGAAAGTTCGCGCTCATGCCTCTCACTCTGCGTCGCGTGCTGATTGGTTCGCTCAGGAGGAGAGTGTTACGGTGGCGAGATCATAGACTGACCAAACTCTCCCCATATACGGCTCTGGAGTACCGCAATCTAGAACGCCATCTCTCGGCGGCTAGTGGCGAACTCCTGGAGGTTCCAACCCCGGTCAGAAATGCATGGAAAACGTGGGAAAATCGCTGTTTCTTCATTGTTGTGGGGATGTACGGAACGACAATAGTTTTTGACATAATAGTGGAACATTTTACAACAATTTGCGCTAAGTTCTGTGCCTCGTAAGGACATAACTTTTTTTAAAAAATGCCTAAGCGGCATCATGCAGCAGACGACGCGGCGACGTCACACCAATCACGTGACCCGCTCCGGCCAACCCCAAAAAAACCATCTCCGCTGTGCAAAACAATCATCTGCTTCAAACGCCATTGCCTTGGAAATTGCCTTCTCACAATTTTCACATGCATCCAATATTATTAAAATTTTGATAAAGTGTTTCGTGCTTTAGCAACTTTACGACAGACTAGTTTCAAAAAGTGTGGACTTGCCGTTTATTTTTTATCAGCCGTGTTGAGTCGATCTCCATGTATTCTCCGATAGGGCGGGCCGCCTCCTGGAACCCTGAGTTCCACGTGACTCGCGCTGAGCTGCTCAGTCGGCCATCTTGTCGGCGAAGCACGCGGATCAAAGGATTGCGCTACTCTGCTCCGTAGGAGCTATATAGTGCTCTAATTGGAACTAGAGACGTCTCGAACCTCCTTCGGTTCGACTTCGAAAGGTTTTGATATTTTCAAACTGATCTGAGGTCCAAATTGAAAGTTTTCAATATTTTCGACCGTACCGATGTGCAAATTCGAAAAGTTTTTAACTTTCGAACACGTGAACACCGAAAACCGGTTTCTAAAAGTTACGGTTCGATTATTTCGAATATTTTTTTACCTGAGATCGAGTAATTCAAAGTTTTTGAACTTTCCTAACTAATAAATCGAGAGATTCAATAATTTTAAATTTCTTGGGATCTGAAGTTCGAAAAATGAGAAGATTTCGAATTTCTTTGAATCAGAAGTTAGAAGATTTCGAATTTCTTTGGATCTGATATTCGAAAAATTTCAACGTTTAAAATTTTTATAGACAAAGTTGGAAAAATTCTAAGATTTCGAATTTCTTTCTGCATAAAGTTAGAAGGTTTCGATTCTCCAAGTGCGCAAAGTTCGAAGTCCGGTTTTCATGTTCCTCTACAATTTCAGTTTCAAATAGCATTTTCACGCCTCACTGGTTTTCACAAAATCAGGTTTAAAAAAGTTAGGTGTGACATTTAGAATGCAGAAGTTGGTCAGGCAATTAAATGAGATGACGAGTGTCCCGGATGTGCTGGAATATTTGCCAGTGCAGAGTGATGTCTGGCCATGTAGCTGTAATTGCGCCCTCCAGCCCGGGAGAATCTTTAACGTGCATCACGCAGCAGTGATCACATGAACGCACTCGTACGATACTCCTTCAGTTCGAAACGGCCAGGGGCGGGCAAAAAGTTGAGGCTCAGAAAAACCTTGAAGCGATCTGGCAAGCTACCTCCCCATCCCCTGATTTTCCGGACTGTTAAAGAAAACAATACGGGGAAAGAGGCGTGGTTGAGCTTAATCTTTATTTTAATCTGAAATTATATATGCATATGTATAGCTACTGTCGCTCTTCACTTCATAAAAGATTGCGTAGATGATCATTGTTGGAAACTCGTTGGAAGGCACTACTCGTCACATACTTAGTGGTTCGGAAGTTAAAAGCTATGTCTTTTTGACCTACATAACTGTGCCACTGGTAAAAAAAAAAAAAAATTCTTAGTTCAACAAGTTCGAAAATTCAAAATCTCTCGAGCCGCCTGATTCTGTCACCGAACCTTCAGTTCGAAAAAAGTTTGCGGCATCCCTGATTGGAACCAAACTGCATGCGTGAGACGAGTATGCGCTTTGCAATGGCTGTAATGTGGTACGCAAGCCTGGTGTAAAAAGGTGACAGGCAACAAAGTGTGCATATGAGATGGATATTTATGCTTCGCATAATCTTTTTCTAAAGAAAATCTTGTGCATCCTGTTTTGTGAAGGCCTCACATTTGTTACCAGACTCAGCATTAAATTTGGTTGCCAAAACAAACAAATGTGCTGCGAAAATCCACTATTTGAGAACTCACAGGTTTGGAAGGTTTTAGTTGTGATTGCGCGTGTGCCGAACGGCTATAGACACATACAATTACGAGTGCCGGAACGGGCCAACGGGCCTCTCTCATCTTGAAGGCCTCATCGCCTGATTCTAGTCGGCACAGCAAAGCAACAATCGGCCCGATTGTTTCTACCGTATTTCCTGTGTGGCTGTCTAAGTGACTTGTAAAACAACTGGTATAAATTTGTTATTTTGCCGAGTAGTCTGCAAAACGAGTTCGTCGAACCACTTTCCAAGCCTGCACATCTATTTTCGTTCACTTCAACAATTATTGTAGAATTCACTTGCTTGATGCGTCGCACTGCAGTAATCCATTTCTGTTGCAGTGTCGCTTCCCAAGATCTCGAAGGGAACCGTTGTAGTTTGACGCTTGAGTCACCTTCGTGACTTTGGCAGTCTTTCACGCAGCAGTAGCGACGTTTATTCTTTGGGGGAACTCTAGGAGTAGGCGAGATGTCACAGGAGCTCGGTGAGGTCATAGAGACGTGAAGCCGGGACTTACTTTTAAGAGAAACTGTGCCCAAAAAGGCTCACGCCAATCCGAAATGCCACATTCACACATGGTTTCTTAAATGCGCCCACCCGCAGCCCCCTGATCTTGGCCGTCCTGGCCCACCCAGTGTCTTATTTTGCAGCCGCTAGATGGCGCAACGTGTGGTGCCAAACTGCATTGCCGGTTAATATTTCAGTAACTTTACTTTTGATGAGGGGAGGGAGTGAAGTGGAGAGATTCATATTATCAAGATTCTGCTGCGTTTGCCTGCCCCCCTCGCGTACACACACACACACAGTGTCGTTGCCCAAAGCGCCTCTGACTGTATGATGCAAAACCTAATTTGTTTTGATCTGTATAAAAGAAGAAAATAATTTACTGACAGAGTGACAGTGCTGGTGGGCCTGAATCTAAATATGTACTTGCAGGACGACTTCATTTCATGACTTCTTTATGCAGCATAGCACGACACAGTCATTGCTTACGAGTAGTTGCAACGACAAGAGTTGATCAGGTTGCCAGTATCGCATGTGAATGAATACTATCTTAAAGGCGTGATTTCAAAAGGTAGTCTTCATTTATTTAGTGCATAAAGTAGCCTGGCTGTGGCAACATCATAAGCTTAGCATACCACTTTTATAGTAGTGGCCACAGCACCCTCATGTCACCTCCCTAAAAGAACCGTAAGGAAGAGCGGGCACTACCTCCACAATTTTGCGTCCTCACAAATCATAAAACAAGTGAAAGTGATTGGCTGATGGTGTGAAAACCAGCCAATCGCTTTCATTTGTTTTATGATGCATTACTGAAATCTCACCTTATTAGTAACTGTAGCCTACATTTTGTTTGGGCATATGCATGCTTCCTTCAATTACTACAACAAAGACATGGGGTTGAATGATTTGACTACCTAACATAGCTCCTTATCATGGGGCTAGATTGATGCTGTGAAGGAATATTGTGCTTTATTTATACTGCATTGCCCGTCATTTGGGATTACGTGGTGTGGCAAACGTTTTCTTTATTAAAGCTACAGTTTGTCCTAAATGTGTAAGCAAATCAAGATCTTGATGTTACTCGTCTCTCTAACCTTCAATTTGCTCTCCTCGGTGCTGCTGTGGCTGCGCCACCTGGTGAGGCTGTGGCCTTTTCTTGGCCACCTCTCTTTGCTGTCCGGGATGCTGAGGTATGTGTCTGGGCCTACAAGGCACTTTGTTTATTGTTTCCACTCCATTGGTTTATTCTGGAGAACAGACTAATGGCACAAAAGACATGGACACAAACAGGCAGGCACACAAAGAGACAGGTACCTGGCTTAGAGTTGGACTAAAGACGTTTCTGGGATTGTCTGTTCTTGGTGATAACTCATTCGGCGGGCTATAAGGATCCTAAATATTGAAAAATTATGCTCGTTCGATGCCTATTTTCCTATTAAAAATAGAAAAAAAGAAATAAAAGAAGATAGTTCATGTCCTGCCATAGGACGAGAAGGTGCACTATCTTCGAAAAAGTGTACATGCGGGTGAGAGTGACATCAGTGCTATCTGACAGCCGTGTCCCACAAATTACAGTTTAGCAGTGCCAATAATACCTATCCAGGGGTTAGTAAGCTAGTCCGCATCGCTAGTATAGACTAGCAAAGAAGGCAGAGGTGAGACATTTTGATGCCTATTTCTGAACACAGAAAGCGAAGGTAGTGAGCTATGGTGATGGCACACTCATTCATGTTTTTTCTTTCATGTCTTGTCATGGATTGGAGCCCAAAGGTGTTTCTTTCGCATCGCTTGGCTGCCCGAGACTGCACATATTAGTACAAAACATAGGAGTGCACAGCGGTATACTTCCTTTGTACTTTGCGATGCTGCACTTAAAAATTGTCAAATGGTTCATTAAAGGGTACCTAAAATATTATATATGTGAAAAGCTTTTATGAAACAATTTTTTTATATCACTATTAGTATTTTACAGCAATAATGGACCTCCTTTCCAAAGCTGAAATTCCTTCTCTTAAAGCGGCTCTCGGGAGATTTCTAAGGTGGCCTATTTATGGCTGTAACACATTCTATGTGCTCTAAGCATCCCAAAAATTTAAAGTTAAATTATGTGCAGCTTATTCCACTAATAAAAATCTGATAAAAGATAGTGAATCTGAGACGTACAAATGGCACCACTGAACCTGGCCGAATGTAAGCGAGCAACAAACGGGGCTCATCACACAATCACAAAGTTATGGCTTCACGTGATGACAAGCAGCCGACTAGTCCTGCTCGTCTGCACAGGAAGCCCTCGCTTGCAATTAAGTGACGAGTGTCTTTCGCCGTTCCACCCCATTGGCCTTGATTCAATTCAACCATATTCGCTATCTTTGATCACATTTTTTAATAGTGAAATAAGCTGCACATGATTGTGAGTTTTGGATTTATGGGATGCTTAGAGCACATAGGTTGAGTTAGGAACATAAATAGGCAATCGTGGAATACTAGGAAATGCCCCTTTCATTTATTTCATTTTTTTTATTTATATATATTGTGAGGGTGTTTATGAGAGACATATTTGATAGTGCAATGTGGGAAGACCAGAGGCGACCAATAGCGAAACAGCCAAATCGCTCTCAGCTCGCGTGGCGAAAACATGTAGTGCGCGCCCCTATTTCCCAAAGATGTGCGTCGTTGTCTTCGTAATAATATGTACAATACAGCATTTCAGTGAAACAAAGCAGGAACATGATTGCAGACAAAAGTGGACAGCCCCATTTGTGTTGCCTGTATTTCTTCACTTTTTGTGCATTTGCTTGACAATGTGACTCTCTGCAGACTCATCTTGGACCTGGCATCAAAATGCGAGAGGCAGCATTTACACACGCCATGGAAAAGGCTGCCACTCCTGGCCGCTTTCTCAGAATGGTCAGCCGACCACTATGGGAGCCTGCGGAGCTCTTGGACAGGAGAATGTCAGGGCAAGCCTGCAGGCGTCTCCTCTAGGAGGGTGTGGTAGGAAAGAAGCCCCTAACACAAGAAAAAATTAAAGGGAAGCTACGGAGCTTCTTGGGAAAAATGAGTTAGAAGTGAATTCTAGTGTATTTTTACCCCGTGAACCCGAATACCCAAACCATTTTGCTGCGTAAGTATTGTTAAACGCGAGAAAAACGCGAAAGACAGTCGCTGTCCGTGACGTCATCGACGGCTCTTTTGGCTGCCCAAGGCTAGGGGGGCGGGGCTTCAGCCCTATTTTGAAATTGCTCTTGTGGCTCTCCGGCGCGTCGCATTGAAATATAATTTTGATATCTGTTATTCTAAAGGCCAAATGAACGCAATTCAAGCGTTTTTTCTCAAATGTAGAAGTGCCCCATCTTCCCTTTAAAGCTCTAACTGGTGGGTATTTCTGATCAACCTGGAAGGGCACAGAATCTGTTGTGGCTGTGCTGTGCTTAGCTCTGCACATAATGTGTGTATAGTGTGAGTTATAATTTACTACGATTTGAGATATTTTTATGGACCTATTGTTGGTTTTGCCTTGTGCAGCACACATGTACAGTCAGAGGCACTATGAGGTCAGACAAGGTGAATGTGGGCAGACCAGGAGAAATGCCGCATGGGGTACAGCGCTTTTTTTGCACACTGGGAGCGAGGCCACAATGTTCGATCTACAGTCAAACCCAATATTATCGAACCCGGTTAATTCATACTAATTGTAAATGGACTGGTAGCTGCAATAAAAATGCATAGCGAAAAATGCAATTGCATTGAACGAAAATTGCAGCGTCTCCCCATACATCAATCTCCCAAGAGCGCTGTTTAGCTCTGCAAGCTGATTTTCCCCCAGCGAGAGAGTTTTGTTGGGGGAAAGCCAGCTTGCAGAGTAAGGTGGCTTTTTTTTATTTTGGGCTGTTGCGTCGACCGCCCAGAAGATAAAAAAAAAAAATATATCTCGCGGGGGGAGAGGGTGAGCCGGTAGACGAAGAAGCGGCCACTAAATAGCTGCGGTGAGCGTTCCTCATGACGTACAGATGCCCCTTCGAGAGTAAACTACTTTTCTAAATGTGACGTGCTTGTTCGTTGTCAAAATCATTAAAACTTTTATAGTGAATTGCCCACTATATCGAAATGGTAGACGGTTTATTGAGAGTTCGATATAGTCGGGTTTGACTGTATTATGTTGCCCGCAGGAATGGGAAAGCAGATTGAATGCGGGAGGGCAGGCAGAGTGATAAATTGACTGATTATCAGGCTGGACACGACAGAACTTCCTTGTTTACTGTTGTAATTTTATTACTTTAAGGTTTTTTTTTTATGAATAACTGCTCGTGTATTTTTTTTATGCACTGTAGGTTTCATCATGCGATACCAACATGCCCAAGCCATCATCTTAGCCATCCAGATGTGCTGGCAAAAACGGCATGGAAGAAAAGAGCCATGGACAGCCCTGTCTGCAAGGGAATGTGTGCGAGTGGTGCGTGTTGGGAAAAAAAATAAAATAGTAAGTTTCATTGTCTTTGTAGTTTTATTTCATGGCAGAATGAACACCTAAACCTTCGAAAAATTGGTATTCTTTTTGCACAATTTGCTAGCCGTTGTCATCAGCAGTCCTTTCTGCATCTAAGTTATATTGTGTATGCATGACGAGGTCACCCCAAAGACACTAGATTGGCAGGGTCACATCAGAACACACTTGACAGGGTCACATAAAGACATCAGAACACACCGAGACCCGTGTCTGAATTTCTGCTCTGCCTCGTCGTGTTGTCTCTTATCTCAATAAAGTCTAAAAAATTTTGCGTTGCGATTTCAGCTTTCGCAAAAGCCAGAAGTAATAGGGTGCCATGTCTGGACTGTAGGGGAGCTGGTATACCTGGGTAAAACCCCGTACGAGACGTGACGAAATGGCAGATGTATTGTTGTGATGAAGCTGGCAATCACCTATTGCGCGCAACTCCTGCCGTTTTATTCCTATGGCATCTCAGGCGGCGAAAAACTTCCATGTAGTGTACTCTTTATTTATTGTCTGGCCTGAAGGACCATACTCATAATGGACCTAACGTTTATAATCAAAAGGGGTTGTCAACAGTATGTTCGCGTGGCTCCGACTTTTCTGTGCTCTCTTAGAATCTGGAGACCTGGGTGACTTCTATTGGCTTGAGTAAGCTTTTGTTTAGGGTCACAGTTCTTAATCCATTACTCATCTCAAGTTATAACTACGGCTAGGCCGTTGATCGATTAACCTCATGCTTTCATCTTGGTTAATTTTTCAAACAGTTAATCGGTAAAATTCTGATGAATCAAAAGAAAGTAAAAATTAAATGTTCCCACCACGCAGACGTGGACGAGTACACCTGTATAAACGGCAAACTTTAGGGAAAAAGTTTAACCTAATGTAAACTCTATGGGTGATATTTGTAACTCAAGACGGATGCAGAAGGTTTCAAGCGTGCCGGCCACTTCAATGCCATGCGAGTGTCCGTTTAGCGCACCATAGACTATTGTGAATAATCAGAGGAAATCACTCTATTACCAGAGAGTATGACCGAACCTCTTGGCCTCATACAGTAAGAATCTGAGTGCGTGTGTCCTTCAACTGTTCTCAACTACACCAAGGTTGGTTCATAATCAAAAATCTCTTTGCATCGTTTATCACAAATTCAGCAGCAAAAAAAAAAATTGATTTTTTAGAGCATTCTGCATGAAAATGAACGAGACCGATTAATCAATAAAAGGCGGCGATTAATCGGGTTAAAATATTTAATCGACGCCCATCTTTATTTATAACTTTCTTTAGGATCTGGATTGTTGTTGGTTTAAATCAAGTTCTATGCAACTTCAGCACGAAAAACATTCTGCTTTTGTGACATAAATTAGGGTGAGGAAGAAAAATCTTTATAAAATAACATGCCTCTATAGGTACCACCTGGAAAGGCACCACCGATTGAATGCCTATTTTGAAATAAAAGAATAGGATGGCAATCCACCAATCCTGTGACAGAAACTGCACAATGAATTTTTTTTCACCTCGCGTTTTATGCTTAAATCCTCCATCCTAACTTCTGAAAGTGTTGTCTGTGGAATTGCCACGTCTCCTAATTCTCTCACTGTCATCCGGCAGTTATTGTTGATAGTAGCTCACGTGCACTTTAAGTTGCCAGGTATTCTGGCTATGAAGGGCCTTGTGGAGCATGCATCCCTGTCAATGGCATGCCGACCATCTCCGGAGTGCTCAATGAATTGTACCTGAAAGTGTCCGGTGATGAATATTGAAGTATAAAAGTCTTTAATATCTGATCGACTCGCTAAGTCATAGTAAATCTGATGATCAGACAGTGCCTCACCTCAATCAATGGCATCTTGCTGCCGACTGAGTGGCAGAAAGGTAAAGTGATTGTTCACACATGTGCGGAAGGGTCCCGACTGTTGGCCAATTGACGTTGGAGCCGCGCCCCGGGTTAGCAAGACAATAAAAATCACTGAATACTTTAAGAACAAACTTTATAAGCTCTACTTTTAGGTGCCAGGGAGCTATCTACCTGGATATAAGCAAAGAGTGGAAAAATGAAAAGCTGCTCATGTTGACCATTTTGTTTAGTACACTTCACTGCAATACAGAGATGCTTTGTGGGGAAACTAATGTCATGATTTTCTCTACATTGCAGAATCTTTTTGAATAACATATTCATTTTAGATAACGTAAGGGGCACTAACCCCATGGTTTTGCAAAAAAAAAATAATGCAGCTCGTATTTTTTTTATTTTATTAAGCACACTTCATTGCAATACAGAGTGCTTTGTGGGGAAATAAGGTCATGACTACCTCTACATTGTAGACTGTCATTTTCGACAACATAAGGGGCAGTAACCATCTGGTTAGTGCCCCTTATTTGTTTTAGATAACAAAAGGACAACTAAACCCTCATTTTGCGAATGAAGCAACAAAATACTGTTCCGATTTTTTTTTCTCACTTTGTCGTGCATACTTTCTCGCAACACAGGTGTGCTTTGTGGGGAAACTAACGACTTGGCTACCACCTGATTGTAACTGTAGATTAAGATGACATAAAGTGTAGTCCTGCTTTTTCCAACTGTTAATTGAGGCTAGAAAAGCTATAAATTATTTATTTTTATGAAAACAAAACTTGTAAGCTTTGTATTACTGCTTTGGCCCCACTTTTTTCCTAAGATAATTAACAGATTCCTACTCAGTGGTGCAACATACATAACATCAGTTTAAACTCCAACAAGAATATCAATGATTGGGTTGATAATAAGAACGGAGGATTTTCAAAGCAGAATACTAGGCTAGGGGTGGCCAAACTGCGCCTCGCAACCACATGCGGCTCTCTCAGGTTCCAAGTGTGGCTCACGACTTTCTGGTAAGCATGCCCAGGCAAGAAAGAAAAAAAGGTATCAAATAAGACAGCTTGCGTTGTGGCAACCTTGTGCCAACATGCCTATGCTGCCATGAGGCACTTTGTTCAACAATGGAGGAGGTAAAATTAGAATAGCAAGCACGACCCTGACGTACAAAAACCTAGCTGAGCTCCTAGATTTTTGGTGCACCCTCTTCCGGCATTGCTGGAAGCTGTCTGCCAATAATAACAATAACAGGACAGCTGTAGTGGTCAATAAAATATGAATGCAATTGATATAATTGAAATGTGTTGCAATGCTGGAAAACTAAATTCTTTCATAGTGACCAACTGGTGAACCTTTCTTGAAATAATGACTGCAGGAGCTAGGAAAGTCAGACACTGACCATTAACAGCCCCATTATTCATAAGATTGTCAGTGGCATGGAGTCTATAAATATTTGTCTTCCATTGTGATCAATAACGAAATTTACTTTGAGGCGGGTTTATATTATGACACCACTACGGTGTAGCAATAACATTGTTCGTAGACCCTACTGCAATATTTCAATATTAATATCTGATGCCTATGCATTTTCACTAATTGACGAGCTTTGAGCAATTGCTAAGAAAGTGTTTTTGCCATATCTATGCAATGAATTAGCCAACTGGGCTCTGATAGAAGAAAAAATAGCTGAACAGGCAATGTCAGGATGAAAAAATGGCTATACTCGGATTAACCTCACAGCCCCATCTTCTATGATATAAGTATGTTGGAGCCTCAGGGTCATGACCCACTTCATTGACAATTGTTAAGCTCAATTTATTCGAAACACAATACCTTAGGTCGCTAATGAACATACTGAATGTTTCTACAATCTGACTTGATTATTCAAATCCTTCATAGGATTTGCAAGTAACCAGCCACTAAACCCTAGCTATTGCTATATTTATTGCATGTTGGTTGTTGTGATGATCCGACAGCAATAATAAAACAGAAAAGCAACATCAATGAACAGATTTCGAGTTTTATTGATTGAAGAAGTGTACAGGTAGAAACTGAGAGAGAGGAGATGAAAGCGAGCGGGCATGTCAGAACACCAAGCTCTGGTTGGAATGATTAGTGGATAGAGGCAGAGCCTTTGTCTCTACTCACTGTTTGAAAGCGAGCACAGAACATTAGACGCCGGTGTTTGGCATTCGAATGCATGCAAACAGTGAGCACGGTTTTGCATCTACCCACTAATAATTCAAACCAGAGCTGAGGGTTCTGACATACCCACGTGCTCTCTTCTCCTCCCCTTCCTCAGCTTCTACCTGTACAGAACAAACTTTAAGGAGCAGTGTTAATTACTGATTGAATTTTTCGCATTCTTTTTGTAGTAGTTTTAGTTTCAGGATTTCTTGATCTCGTTGGAGTGTAAGGATACCAATTTCTAATCTTTGTCTTTCCATGTCAAGCATTCGTTTTTCCTCAACGGCCTTTGTCTGGGCCTCTAGCAAGCGAACTTTTGCCTCAGCCACGTGGTTATATATGGCTGTGGCATCGGCAGCAGCGGAGCTTCTCCTCACGGGCCTGTTGGGTCCCTGTTGAGGCTGTGTCTGCGTGCAGGGCATCACTCCAGAGGCCACAGGACTACTTCCAGGAGCTGGAGTCACTGGCGTCTGCTCCTGCTGGTCACTGTCCTGAAATCATAGATGCTTTTGCACAATAGTACTGCAACAAAATATTCTATTGAAAACCCAGGTTAAGGGATGGTGCCAACTGAGGGATTATAAAATAGCACAAATATTATTGCTTAGCCAAAGCGAGCAAAATAATTTATTCTATTTTTGTGCAATAGTGAGCAGACCATCACGCTGCCACCGTGTTTCTCCTCATGTGAGCAGGTGCACACAATTGCAAGCCTGTCAGATCTATGTGCATATATGCTGCATGTGCTTGCACACTTGGGGCACCAGCCATGATGCAATGTGCTTAGAATACTGTATAAACAGGCAAGTGCTAGAATTATCATTCGTATTATAAAAACAGTGGTACTTGGCCACTTTGAAATAATAGATATTGGTGAAATCTAGTGCTGACAAGAATTGATAGGCCACACCAAACAAAGCCGGGCTTGTTATTGAAGTGGAACATGGGTAATAAGCATTAG